AAGCAAGGGGACATGTTGCTAGTGGTGCCAGAGGGAGCCTTTGCAGTTAGGCTAGGAAACGAGGCATCAGTTAAGCAAAGAATCAAAGTGACTAAGGGCATGTACTATGCCATCTCATTCAGCTATGCTCGCACTTGTGCCCAAGATGAGTCGCTCAACATATCCGTGGCGCCAGATTATGGTGTGCTGCCTGTGCAAACACTCTACAGTAGTAATGGTTGGGACACTTATGCATGGGCTTTCAAAGCTTTATATGATCCTGTAGAGTTTGTTTTACACAATCCAGGAGTCGAGGAGGATCCTGCCTGCGGACCGCTCGTCGATTCGGTTGCCATTAGAACACTTTACCCTCCTAGAGCAAACAACAGTAAGTTCTATCTCTTTTCTGAAATGAATTAAAACTATATGATATAGAATATCAGTTATGCATATATTTAATTAGGTGTATTAATTCATTAGAGCTGGAAGACGGTGACAGGATCATAGGGACCTCCGAAGAGGCATGTTGGCCATTTTTTTTTTTTTTTTGTTTTTTTGTTTTTTGTTTGCTTGATCAATTACTTCTGAGGAGTTAGGTAGTTTGGTCGCATTCATGTTATGTGCCATGATGATTTTTACAATTAAAACTTCAAATTTTTTGGCTCGCAACTTTTGCATTGATTACCTGTAGCAATTGTTTTTCTGGGAAAGAGTCAGTAATCGGTCGTAATATTATTTGGTGTGGGGCTAAACAGCTATAAATGATAGCGACCAAGATCAGATTGTTTGTCAGTATGTTCCTCAAATGACATAGTACTGGAGACCCATTAAAAACTTTGCATGTGGATTCAGTGAAGAATTATGGTGAAATTAATTTTTACCATTTTATTTGTGCAGAAAACTTGGTGAAAAATCCAAGTTTTGAAGAAGGTCCATATGTGTTTCCCAACACATCTTGGGGTGTCCTAATCCCACCCAACATTGAAGACGACCACTCTCCATTACCAGGCTGGATGGTTGAATCCTTGAAAGCTGTCAAGTACATAGACGCCGAGCATTTCTCAGTCCCACATGGGAGGAGAGCGGTTGAACTTGTTGCAGGAAAAGAAAGTGCCATTGCCCAAATCGTTCGAACCATCCCTGGAAAAATTTACACACTCTCATTCTCAGTGGGAGATGCCAGCAACTCATGTGAAGGATCCATGATTGTTGAAGCCTTTGCTGGGAGAGATACAATCAAAGTTCCTTATGAATCAAAAGGCAAAGGTGGATTCAAACGTGCAGTGCTTAAGTTTGTGGCTGTTTCAACACGAACTCGCATCATGTTCCTTAGCACATTTTACACCATGAGAAGCGATGACTTAGCTTCTCTCTGCGGCCCGGTTCTTGATGATGTGACACTGTTGAGTCTTCGTAAACCATGAGCCAGCAATTTGACTTAATGAAGGTGTTGAGTATTTGGATTGGTAACCCACGAAGCATGGATATGAAGAAGTGAAAGCCATTGCCATAATCAAGCAAAATTAACTAGAGGGCTTGGATGATATATATATATATATATATTGGATCTTTTGTAATACTAAGAATGTTATTGTTGCATAATTAAGGAATATTAATATATGAATATATAATGAACTATGAAGGGTTTCATAATATCCATTCTTGTCAATTAATTGTAAACAAACCTTTCAAGTGGTTCCATGATCATAATTTTGCGTAGACTAGCACAATACTCCACGACCCCTCCACTTAAATCAGAAATGCTCAGATGTGTAATATCCAAGATGTCAAAGGTATGTTCTTAATTCAAAATAGTCTTTTAGATGTTAATTTTATATTAAAAATCATAAAATCCAACTAAGGGTAAAATAGTCAATTCATTGAAAACCGTATGAATCAATTATCCATAAAAAGATATCAGGGGTAAAATAGTCATTTTACCTGTGGATAAGAATTATAAAAAGTCAAGGATGAATAGACTTAATTGCATTTAATGGCATTAATTAAGTAATAATTATGTCTAGTGTCAAATGATTAAATTGTCCTTACATGAGAAATTAAGGACTTATGAGTTAGATAATTAAAATAGTTGGGCCAATAAGGTAATTATATGTTATAGTCTTTGATTCACTAATAATCGAGATCCATTACTAGTTAAAAAACTGAGTAAAACAGGGTATCGAGCCTATACGGCTTTTTACTTGTTTTATCCACAGATTTTTGACATGATTGAGTATGCTATTTACCCAACCTACATATTGATTAGAGAGAAAAGAAAACACTTAAAAAATAGTCTCCGATTCACCCATCATCGAGATCCATTACCGGCTGAAAAACTAAGNGTTGCAGGAAAAGAAAGTGCCATTGCCCAAATCGTTCGAACCATCCCTGGAAAAATTTACACACTCTCATTCTCAGTGGGAGATGCCAGCAACTCATGTGAAGGATCCATGATTGTTGAAGCCTTTGCTGGGAGAGATACAATCAAAGTTCCTTATGAATCAAAAGGCAAAGGTGGATTCAAACGTGCAGTGCTTAAGTTTGTGGCTGTTTCAACACGAACTCGCATCATGTTCCTTAGCACATTTTACACCATGAGAAGCGATGACTTAGCTTCTCTCTGCGGCCCGGTTCTTGATGATGTGACACTGTTGAGTCTTCGTAAACCATGAGCCAGCAATTTGACTTAATGAAGGTGTTGAGTATTTGGATTGGTAACCCACGAAGCATGGATATGAAGAAGTGAAAGCCATTGCCATAATCAAGCAAAATTAACTAGAGGGCTTGGATGATATATATATATATATATATTGGATCTTTTGTAATACTAAGAATGTTTTTGTTGCATAATTAAGGAATATTAATATATGAATATATAATGAACTATGAAGGGTTTCATAATATCCATTCTTGTCAATTAATTGTAAACAAACCTTTCAAGTGGTTCCATGATCATAATTTTGCGTAGACTAGCACAATACTCCACGACCCCTCCACTTAAATCAGAAATGCTCAGATGTGTAATATCCAAGATGTCAAAGGTATGTTCTTAATTCAAAATAGTCTTTTAGATGTTAATTTTATATTAAAAATCATAAAATCCAACTAAGGGTAAAATAGTCAATTCATTGAAAACCGTATGAATCAATTATCCATAAAAAGATATCAGGGGTAAAATAGTCATTTTACCTGTGGATAAGAATTATAAAAAGTCAAGGATGAATAGACTTAATTGCATTTAATGGCATTAATTAAGTAATAATTATGTCTAGTGTCAAATGATTAAATTGTCCTTACATGAGAAATTAAGGACTTATGAGTTAGATAATTAAAATAGTTGGGCCAATAAGGTAATTATATGTTATAGTCTTTGATTCACTAATAATCGAGATCCATTACTAGTTAAAAAACTGAGTAAAACAGGGTATCGAGCCTATACGGCTTTTTACTTGTTTTATCCACAGATTTTTGACATGATTGAGTATGCTATTTACCCAACCTACATATTGATTAGAGAGAAAAGAAAACACTTAAAAAATAGTCTCCGATTCACCCATCATCGAGATCCATTACCGGCTGAAAAACTAAGTAAAACGGGGTATCAGACATATTTAATTGTTTGCTCATTTTATCCACAAATTTTTGACAGGATAGAGCATGCTATTTACGTAACCTCAGTATTTATTAGAAATAAAAGAAAATGCTCCAAATATAGTTCTCGATTCACCCATAGTAGAGATCTACTACTTGTGAAAAACTGATTAAAACAAGTATCAGACATATTTGGCTTTTTTCTTGTTTTATCCACAGATTTTTGATAGGATCAAGCATGCTATTTACCTAACCTTAGTATTTATTAGACGGAAAAGAAAACATTCCAAAAATAGTCCTCGATCCACCCATAATCGAGATTCATTACCCACTTAAAAACTAAGTAAAACGCGATATTAGGCTACGTGACTTTTTACTCGTTTTATCAATAGATTTTCGACAATATCGAGCGTTCTATTTACCTAACCTTAGTATTGATTAGACAGAAAAGAAAAATGTCCAAAAATAGTCTCGATTCTCCCATAATTGAGATCCATTGCCGGCCGAAAAAGTGAGTAAATCGAGGTATCGAGCCTATATGGCTTTTTGCTTGTTTTATCCATAGATTTTTTACAGTATCGAGCATGCTATTTACCTAACCTCAATATTGATTAGACAAATAAAAATGCTCTAAAAATAGTCCTCGATTCGCCCATAATCGAGATCTATTACATGTTGAAAAACTGAGTAAAACGGGATTCGGGCCCATGCAGCTTTTTGCTCATTTTATCCACACATTTTTGACAGGATCAAGCATGTTATTTACCTAACCTCAGTATTAATTAGACGGTAAAGAAAACGCTCGAAAAATAGTACTCAATTCACCTGTAATCGAGATCCATTACCAATTGAAAAACTGAGTAAAACGCGGTATTGGGCATATACATATATTTACCTTATCAATCACTCAATGCACATTTTCATACATGTAAATTCGAAAAAAAAAAAAAAAAATTCAAGTTTAAAAAAAAAAAAAAAAAAAAAAATTCAAGTTTAAAACATCTATGAAATTTTGTCTACAATCATAAGTTATGAAACAAAATTAATATCGATGATTTATCCATTAAATAAAATTTGAAGTTAAATAACAAATATTTGATGAGCAGGTCCAAATTATTTTCATTTATACGGAGATCCAAACAATTGTAACATAAAATTTGAGCTCGGCCCATGTAATAGAAGACCGAGCCCAAAATATCTAGGCCCAAACATAAACCCCTGATTTAAACCCACATAAGACATAAGTACACGTGAAACAATCATGGACTGAGTAAATAAATCAAACGGTCCAGAGAGTCGCGTCAGGGTAAAGCTACCTAAGAAGTGAGATATAGCGGAGGAGAGATCTCCTGCAACACGTTACAGAAATTACACCGACTTTGACCAAAAATTTAAAAAAGTATAACAATTTAGGGATTATTAAGAGTGGAGATCTTTGTATAGGGTGCAGCCGAACGTAGGAGATTGTATCTAGAAACAATTAGGGTGTCCTTAAACCTCATATATAAACCCCCTTAGAGACGAGTCCCCCAACCCCTAACTCTCGCTTCTCAATCAAATTCAAAATCAAAACTCAAAGGAAACTACATGGTAATTTTTTTTTTTAAATTCATTATTTTTATTTGTTTAATTGTCGATGTGATTGGATCTGTAATTGCGGATGTGTTAATGGTCTTCTGTTTGTTTGTGATTTGTGTTTCAGGCTCTACCAAATCAGCAGACCGTTGATTATCCAAGCTTCAAGCTTGTTATCGTCGGCGATGGTGGAACTGGTACGAATACGATTTGATTGCTTTGGTTGTTATTTTTTTTTTTTTGTGTGCTTGATCAATTACTTCTGAGGAGTTAGGTAGTTGTCGCATTCATGTTATGTGCCATGATGATTTTTACAATTAAAACTTCAATTTTTTGGCTCGCAACTTTTGCATTGATTACCTGTAGCAATTGTTTTTCTGGGAAAGAGTCGTAATCGGTCGTATATTATTTGGTGTGGGGCTAAACAGCTATAAATGATAGCGACCAAGATCAGTTGTTTGTCAGTATGTTCCTCAAATGACAGTACTGGAGACCCATTAAAAACTTTGCATGGGATTCAGTGAAGAATTATGATGAAATTAATTTTTACCTTTTTATTTGTGCAGAAAACTTGGTGAAAAATCCAAGTTTTGAAGAAGTCCATAGTGTTTCCCAACACATCTTGGGGTTCCAATCCCCCCAACTGAAGACGACCACTCTCCTTACCAGGCTGGATGGTTGAATCCTTGAAAGCTGTCAAGTACATAGACGCCGAGCATTTCTCAGTCCCACAGGGAGGAGAGCGTTGAACTTGTTGCAGGAAAAGAAGCGCCATTGCCCAAATCGTTCGAACCATCCCTGGAAAAATTTACACACTCTCATTCTCAGTGGGAGATGCCAGCAACTCATGTGAAGGATCCATGATTGTTGAAGCTTTGCTGGGAGAGATACAATCAAAGTTCCTTATGAATCAAAAGGCAAAGGGGATTCAAACGTGCAGTGCTTAAGTTTGTGGCTGTTTCAACACGAACTCGCATCATGTTCCTTAGCACATTTTACACCATGAGAAGCGATGACTTAGCTTCTCTCTGCGGCCCGTTCTTGATGATGTGACACTGTTGAGTCTTCGTAAACCATGAGCCAGCAATTTGACTTAATGAAGGTGTTGAGTATTTGGATTGGTAACCCACGAAGCATGGATATGAAGAAGTGAAAGCCATTGCCATAATCAAGCAAATTAACTAGAGGGCTGGATGAATATATATATATATAATTGGATCTTTTGTAATACTAAGAATGTTAGTTGCTAATTAAGGAATTTAATATAATATATAATGAACTATGAAGGTTTCATAATAATGGTTATTTATATCCCATTTGAGAGAAGAAGAAGCAAATGAAGGGAGGTGGTGAGTAATTGAGAAGAGATTGATCTGAAAATGAAAAGAAAAAATCCAAAAAAGGGTAAGGACAGGGGTGGCTCGATATCCAGTCTAAGATTGGTCGTCCACATGCAAAGTGATCAGAGGAAGAAGAAGAAGATTAGGTTTGAGATGAAAGTCGGCCCACTTTCATAGTTGTAATATTATTTTAAGGTTAAAAATGGGTCCACAACCATGAAAGCCCAAGAACAAGCCACGATTTAGAGTTCCTTGGATTAGGTTACTCTTTCTTCTCCCCTGAAAACTTGGCCCACTTTCCTCGTGCTATGTTTCTTGTAACTTTTTAACAGTTGCAGAGCTATTTTCATAAAAATAAGAATCCAAAAGGCAAACTTTCGAATCTACCTTCTCCAAAAAAAGAATGGCCTTTGCTTTTTAAATAAATGACATCTGGAAGATTGTATTGATATGGAGTCAACACAGAGGGCAAAAATAGAAAACATCTGGGGATGGCTGGCTCCCATGGTTGATGGTACCCTCCCTGTAATTTCACCGTGAAAGACATGAATGAAATTGAAATCCATCTTCCTTCTCCTTCAGGAGAGAACAAGCAAATCTTAACATCTTTATTAATTAAAAAACTTGATAATATCTACCATGCACATGGTGAATTATTAATCCTACTTATGGCAGTGAATAGCCCAGGAATCAGGGATATTGATCATCGTCACTGGAGTATCAGACAAATAATAGCAAAACTGACAAGAATGTTAAATAATTTTTATATTTTTGGCGAATTGACTGAAGAAGAAGAATTACTTATTTTAGCTATTTAGTGAAAAAAAGGTGATGAATTAGATGACGAACATGCCCTCAAAAAGCCTAAACGTTGCAGTAGAACCCATGTGACGTTGAACAGTTTTTGTCCCCTCTTCAACCACGTCCAGCCAACCCACCCACATTCGGGGCATTATGAAAAGGAAAGGGCAAATTCGTCATTGGTCAACCCACGTGATGATACAGTCATAATAAATGGCATAATTTGTAATTTCCTTTTAAATCCAAGGGCCTTATTCTTCATCAACATGCATATAAGCCCATCTTCTGATCATCAGTCTATCTAAAACACATATCCTCTTCTCTCTTTTTCCCGAAGGATTTTTTCTTTCTTTGTTTTTTTTTTTTTTTTTGGCTTTTGCGCGCACAGTTTTGTTTAACGATGCGAGGAGGGTTCATTTTTCTGTCGGTGCTACTCTGTTCCACCTTCCACGTCTCCTTCTCCCTCATAGTAGACGGTAAGCCAAAGCCGCAGTTTTAAATTCATGAATTAATACGTGTATTAGTTCATTAGTCTGTTACATTAACCCCATATCAAGAACTGGCTTGGGAGCTCTTGAGGCTTTGCCTGGTTAATTTCTTGCCGTAGAGCAGGTGGCAACTGGCAACTGAGTATTGAAAGTTTGTTGTGGTGGCATGACCGACATGACCACAGTATTTTCTGGCTGATTATCCGCATATATAGTATTCAATTGCTTTAAGAATAGTGTCATTGATGTGAACAGTAACAGCTTTTAAATTTCAAATTCTTTAATTAATATGCCATATTTGTCTTTCTGTAAAAAACTGTGACCTGCTATTCTGTACAACATCCAGCTCATTGTTGCATTAATTAAAGGAGATGAAGACATATATCTTGTTTTTAGCAAATAGTAAATGAAGTCACTTTTGTTTTCTTATTGCTTAAACTGGGAATATATCCAGCTGTAAGTATTTTACTGCTAACGTAATTATCATTTATTGCTCATTTACGCCAGGACTAGTACCAAATGGTAACTTTGAGCTCGGACCAAAGCCCACGGACATCAATGGCACAGTGGTTCTCGGAAAGTATGCAATACCAAAATGGGAAACTTCGGGGTTCGTGGAGTACATAAAATCGGGGCAAAAGCAAGGGGACATGTTGCTAGTGGTGCCAGAGGGAGCCTTTGCAGTTAGGCTAGGAAACGAGGCATCAGTTAAGCAAAGAATCAAAGTGACTAAGGGCATGTACTATGCCATCTCATTCAGCTATGCTCGCACTTGTGCCCAAGATGAGTCGCTCAACATATCCGTGGCGCCAGATTATGGTGTGCTGCCTGTGCAAACACTCTACAGTAGTAATGGTTGGGACACTTATGCATGGGCTTTCAAAGCTTTATATGATCCTGTAGAGTTTGTTTTACACAATCCAGGAGTCGAGGAGGATCCTGCCTGCGGACCGCTCGTCGATTCGGTTGCCATTAGAACACTTTACCCTCCTAGAGCAAACAACAGTAAGTTCTATCTCTTTTCTGAAATGAATTAAAACTATATGATATAGAATATCAGTTATGCATATATTTAATTAGGTGTATTAATTCATTAGAGCTGGAAGACGGTGACAGGATCATAGGGACCTCCGAAGAGGCATGTTGGCCATTTTTTTTTTTTTTTTGTTTTTTTGTTTTTTGTTTGCTTGATCAATTACTTCTGAGGAGTTAGGTAGTTTGGTCGCATTCATGTTATGTGCCATGATGATTTTTACAATTAAAACTTCAAATTTTTTGGCTCGCAACTTTTGCATTGATTACCTGTAGCAATTGTTTTTCTGGGAAAGAGTCAGTAATCGGTCGTAATATTATTTGGTGTGGGGCTAAACAGCTATAAATGATAGCGACCAAGATCAGATTGTTTGTCAGTATGTTCCTCAAATGACATAGTACTGGAGACCCATTAAAAACTTTGCATGTGGATTCAGTGAAGAATTATGGTGAAATTAATTTTTACCATTTTATTTGTGCAGAAAACTTGGTGAAAAATCCAAGTTTTGAAGAAGGTCCATATGTGTTTCCCAACACATCTTGGGGTGTCCTAATCCCACCCAACATTGAAGACGACCACTCTCCATTACCAGGCTGGATGGTTGAATCCTTGAAAGCTGTCAAGTACATAGACGCCGAGCATTTCTCAGTCCCACATGGGAGGAGAGCGGTTGAACTTGTTGCAGGAAAAGAAAGTGCCATTGCCCAAATCGTTCGAACCATCCCTGGAAAAATTTACACACTCTCATTCTCAGTGGGAGATGCCAGCAACTCATGTGAAGGATCCATGATTGTTGAAGCCTTTGCTGGGAGAGATACAATCAAAGTTCCTTATGAATCAAAAGGCAAAGGTGGATTCAAACGTGCAGTGCTTAAGTTTGTGGCTGTTTCAACACGAACTCGCATCATGTTCCTTAGCACATTTTACACCATGAGAAGCGATGACTTAGCTTCTCTCTGCGGCCCGGTTCTTGATGATGTGACACTGTTGAGTCTTCGTAAACCATGAGCCAGCAATTTGACTTAATGAAGGTGTTGAGTATTTGGATTGGTAACCCACGAAGCATGGATATGAAGAAGTGAAAGCCATTGCCATAATCAAGCAAAATTAACTAGAGGGCTTGGATTATATATATATATATAAATTGGATCTTTTGTAATACTAAGAATGTTTTTGTTGCATAATTAAGGAATATTAATATATGAATATATAATGAACTATGAAGGGTTTCATAATATCCATTCTTGTCAATTAATTGTAAACAAACCTTTCAAGTGGTTCCATGATCATAATTTTGCGTAGACTAGCACAATACTCCACGACCCCTTCACTTAAATCAGAGATGTTCAGATGTGTAATATCTAAGATGTCAAAGATATGTTCCCAATTCAAAATAGTCTTTTAAATGTTAATTTTATGTTAAAAATCATAAAATCCAACTAAGGGTAAAATAGTCAATTCATTGAAAACCATATGAATCAATTATCCATAAAAAGATATCAGAGGCAAAATAGTCATTTTACCTATGGATAAGAATTATAAAAAGTCAATGATGAATAGACTTAATTGCATTTAATGACATTAATTAAGTAATAATTATGTCTAGTGTCAAATTATTAAATTGTCTTTATATGAGAAATTAAGGACTTATGAGTTAGATAACTAAAATAGTTGGGCCAATTAAGTAATTATATGTTATAGTATTTGATTCACTCATAATCGAGATCCATTATTAGTTAAAAAACTGAGTAAAACGAGGTATTAGGCCTATGCGGCTTTTTACTTGTTTTATCTACAGATTTTTGACTTGATTGAGTTTGCTATTTACCCAACCTCCGTATTGATTAGAGAGAAAAGAAAACACTTAAAAAATAGTCTCCGATTCACCCATCATCGAGATCCATTACCGGCTGAAAAACTGAATAAAACGAGGTATCAGACATATTTGGTTGTTTGCTCATTTTATCCACAAATTTTTTACAGGATAGAGCATGTTATTTACGTAACCTCGGTATTTATTAGAAATAAAAGAAAATGCTCCAAATATAGTTCTCGATTCACCCATAATAAAGATCTATTACTTGTGAAAAATTGATTAAAATAGGTATCAGACATATTTGGCTTTTTTCTTGTTTTATCCACAGATTTTTGATAGGATCAAGCATGTTATTTACCTAACCTTAGTATTTATTAGACGGAAAAGAAAACGTTCCAAAAATAGTCCTCGATCCATCCATAATCGAGATTTGTTGCCCGCTTAAAACTAAGTAAAACGCGATATAAGGCTATGTGACTTTTTACTCGTTTTATCAACAGATTTTCGACAATATCGAGCGTTCTATTTACCTAACCTTAGTATTGATTAGACAAAAAAAAAAAAAAAAAAACTCCAAAAATAGTCTCGATTCTCCTATAATTGAGATCCATTACCGACTGAAAAAGTGAGTAAATCGAGGTATCGAGCCTATTCGACTTTTTGCTCATTTTATCCATAGGTTTTTGACAGTATCGAGCATGTTATTTACCTAACCTCAATATTGACAGAAAAAAAAATGCTCTAAAAATAGTCCTCGATTCACCCATAATCGAGATCTATTACATGTTGAAAAATTGAGTAAAACAGGGTTCGGGCCCATGCGACTTTTTGCTTGTTTTATCCACAAATTTTTGATAAGATCGAGCATGTTATTTACCTAACCTCAGTATTGATTAGACAGTAAAGAAAACGCTTGAAAAATAGTACTCAATTCACCTGCAATCGAGATTCATTACCAATTGAAAAACTGAGTAAAATGCGGTATTGGGCATATACATATATTTACCTTATCAATCACTCAACGCACATTTTCATACATGTAAATTCAAAAAAAAAAAAAAAAAGTATAAAACATCTATGAAATTTTGTCTAAAATCATAAGTTATGAAACAAAATTAATATCGATGATTTATCCATTAAATAAAATTTGAAGTTAAATAACAAATATTTGATGAGCATGTCCAAATCATTTTCATTTATACGGAGATCCAAACAGTTGTAACATAAAATTTGAGCTCGGCCCATGTAATAAAAGACCGAGCCCAAAATATCTAGGCCCAAACAGAAACCCCTGATTTAAACCCACATAAGACATAAGTACACGTGAAACAATCATGGACTGAGTAAATAAATCAAACGGTCCAGAGAGTCGCGTCAGGGTAAAGCTACCTAAGAAGTGAGATATAGCGGAGGAGAGATCTCCTGCAACACGTTACAGAAATTACACCGACTTTGACCAAAAATTTAAAAAAGTATAACAATTTAGGGATTATTAAGAGTGGAGATCTTTGTATAGGGTGCAGCCGAACGTAGGAGATTGTATCTAGAAACAATTAGGGTGTCCTTAAACCTCATATATAAACCCCCTTAGAGACGAGTCCCCCAACCCCTAACTCTCGCTTCTCAATCAAATTCAAAATCAAAACTCAAAGGAAACTACATGGTAATTTTTTTTTTTAAATTCATTATTTTTATTTGTTTAATTGTCGATGTGATTGGATCTGTAATTGCGGATGTGTTAATGGTCTTCTGTTTGTTTGTGATTTGTGTTTCAGGCTCTACCAAATCAGCAGACCGTTGATTATCCAAGCTTCAAGCTTGTTATCGTCGGCGATGGTGGAACTGGTACGAATACGATTTGATTGCTTTGGTTTTTTTATTTATTTATTATTATTTAGAAGTGAGCGGTGTATTTCATCAAGTAACTCTGAAGTTGGTGAATCATTTTTTTTATATTGGGTGTTAGGGTTTTGGTCGTTTTGTGGTTTTTGTTGGGAGCACTGGCTTGTTGTATATTTGGTGGATTAGGAGCTGGTTTTGTGAACTTCTTAATTACTTCAGGCTATTTCTTGTTTTGGTTGAAATGCAATTATTAGTGTTTTCATTTTTGGTGCTAAGTGATAGTCTTTGGTTTGGCTTGAATTAGGAATGAGTTGGTGGCTCTTTTTTTTTTTTTTTTTTTTTTTTTAATGTGTAATATATATATTTCTAACTATATATGTGTGCAGGAAAGACAACCTTTGTGAAAAGGCATCTCACTGGGGAGTTTGAGAAGAAATACGAGCGTAAGTTTTAATTTTGATTGGTATTGTTTGTTTGGTTGGAATCTTATTTGCAAATCTGACTGCTTTTTAATGATCAATCTCAGCAACCATTGGTGTTGAAGTTCATCCCTTGGACTTCTTTACTAACTGTGGAAAAATTCGGTTCTACTGCTGGGATACTGCTGGGCAAGAGAAGTTTGGTGGCCTTAGAGATGGTTATTAGTAAGTCATTTTATTGGCAAATTTTATGTGCTTGGTCTCTTGCACTATAAATGGTTATTAGCAATATGTGAGTTCTTTTATTGTGAAAGTTTACGAGTTCCTATTCTTACAATGTGCTAAGTATTTTGTTGATTGTGCAGCATCCATGGCCAATGTGCTATCATCATGTTTGATGTTACTGCCCGGTTGACATATAAAAATGTTCCAACATGGCATCGTGATCTCTGCAGGTTCAAATCTAAAACCTTATTTTGTTCCTCTACTTTTGTAATGTAGCGTGATTATTTTCATTCTATATCCAATCCTTTTCTGTTGCTTTTTTCAGGGTGTGCGAAAACATCCCAATTGTTCTTTGTGGGAACAAGGTCGATGTGAAGAACAGGCAGGTGAAAGCAAAGCAGGTTACTTTCCACAGGAAGAAGAATCTGCAATACTATGAGATCTCAGCAAAGAGCAATTATAACTTTGAGAAGCCTTTCTTGTACCTTGCTAGAAAACTTGCTGGGTAAATATACAAATATTTTCCAATATAGAAGCTTGTCTTTATTATCTTTAGGGAATGGATGTAGATCTAAATCTTGTTTTACTTGTAGGGATCCTAATTTGCATTTTGTGGAGTCTCCTGCTCTGGCTCCTCCAGAGGTGCAGATTGATTTGGCTGCTCAGCAACAGTAAGTACTCTTTAATCTTAAAGCGATTTTGATCACTTTCTTCCACCTACAAACACAAGAACAGTATACTGTATGTCTCACTGAGTTCTCTTATTTATCACATAATGGTTTTATTTATTTTCAGGCATGAGGCTGAGCTTGCTGCTGCTGCTAGTCAACCTCTCCCAGATGACGACGACGATGCATTTGAGTAAAAAAAAAAAGGAAAAATGATGGGCTGTGTGATTGTTGGAGTGAAAGGCTCAAAATATATAGATTGTTCGAGGAACTTCTGTGTCTTTTGACAAGAGTTTTGGATTGAATTATTCCTGGCGTATTGTTAGTGTGTTTTTAGTTATTGCCTATTTATGTCTCTATTATTTGCCTTATGGGTTTGGTGCGTTTTGCACTGTGTTACTTGTCAGGGAGCCATCCAATTTTCTGTAGGATGTTTAAATGTTGCTCCATTTTCCCATCCTAATCTATCATTGTTATTATTGTGTTGATGGTCGAAGATTCTGTCTCCTGACCATATATGCACTTTTAAGTGCTTTTGTTTTTGGCGGCAACCATCTCTTAATGATACGCGGTGATTAGAGATGTGAGGATGTGTTTCGAGGAGGTTGGCAGTGAATTTGACATTGTTTAGTGTTATTGTGAATTGGTGTGAAGGGTAACTGAACTCTTCGTGGATAATCCAGCTAATTCTGCACCTAAACGGTCACTATGGTTGACGATAATTGGGTAACCAATGTCAAATTATTTTACAGTAATGGTTTTATTATGTAAAATAATAAAATTATTTTACAGTAATAAGGCAAAAAGTAACGTTACGTTTACATCAACTATTATGTTATATGTAATGACTATTTTAGGAATAATTATTTTATTATAATATTAAAAATTTAAAAAAAAAATCTGTGTAGACGTGATATATGTTACATTATATATAATGAAAATAGTATAATAAATAGTGTAAATGCAAAATAGTCTCATGATGCATTAATACTAATATTAGATATTAATCTCTTCCTAGAAATTGTATAAACTTAATAATATCATTAAAGACAAATTTCAAATAAATTAAAATGGAAGATGTAATTTATCAAATTATTATTTTATTCAAAACATAACATCACGCGCTTTAATCACATGAGCGTTTATACTGGAGTAATAGTAAGGAACTGTCAGGTTCTTTCCTCAAAACTTTGACCTTTTCATTAAAATCCAACGGAACTTTTGAATCTGTAGATTAAATCCCAGCAGTTCACCCTTAATCCCGGAGTTATGAGCCTGCAGAAAGGGTAGCAAAATTAAAATTGAATTACATTCTTAATCACAGCCATGTTTTGATAATCCAGTTGACCTTCATGTAGTTTTGATCATTCTTCCTGGAGTCCAAAATCCTCATTTCTCACAGCCATGTTGCAAACCCTATTCTGATCAACCAGAAATTCCTCAAAAGTTGGAAGTTGTCAATTTACCCCGCTGACATGAGGGTTTGCATTTTACATCAAATTGAAAGAAATACCCAAATATACATCCTGCCGGGAGACTTTGGTTGAAATCATGTATCATATCTACAAAACGTTAAGAGAAAATACCAAATTGAGCTATTCTTCAATTTTAACATATAGAAATTTGCTTTACATCTTCTCCATAAGGTGATGAGTGTTATACTTACATATGTTAATCCGCTCCTCCATAAAAACCAAGCAAAATTCAATATGTTAAAATTGAGAGCAACAATTTGAAGTCAAGTAAAAGATGTAAAGCAATTTTAGAAGACAATTACAATCCAAAATGGAAGTAAATGCCAACATCATGTGAACCGAAGAAAAGGGATAAAGAAAATCTTTAACTCCATTCTGAATGGATCAGGATGTCTCATGGCGGGGCAGTTTGTTTATTTTTGCCAAGACAAGCAACAAATCAAAATCTGTATCAAGTTGTTGAATGAAACAAAATTAAATATGATCTACAGATCCAAAAGAGTATGATAAATTGTTTGTGATGAGTAAAACACTCATCAATTCTAACTTACAACTCAAAATGAAGAACAATATTCAAACCCATTCACAGAACAAAATGCAATCATTAGAGTGATTGAGTAAAATAACATGTTGTGATTCAAATGAAGTCACACCTCATTTTTATGATGAAAAGCTTGATCCGAAGTTCCTGCTTGCCTTAACTTTCCTAATTGCAGTTTGGTTTTGAAAGAATCACAGAAAATTAATATGTCAATACAACATTCTTAATTAATGTATGGTACAGCTTTCTATTATGTGCATTCATTAAAAGGAAAAACTCAATAGGTATTAAGAATATACCTTACACCTACCTTTCTGCTACACTGACAAAGGGTGGGGGTCACCTCCCATGCTCCCTGGCACTGCTTGAGAAAGATCTTACTTATGAAAAAAACAAAATATATTCACAATGAAATTGAAATAGAAGGAGAAGCACAATAAGTGCACTTCTTAAATTCAAGCCTGGGTTAAGAAAGGATATATTTAAGTCATAATACAGTTACTGTTTTGGATGGCTTAGGATGTAAGTCTAGAAATCTGGTAATATTTTTTACTCAGAACAGATAAACACATGCATTAAGCAAATAATAAATGAGTGAGAGAACATAGTCAGCTAGCCAAGATGTCAGGATGCACATTTTCAATCTAAAATCAAATCAGAACCTTCCATCTCAAGATTCTGCTTTTACTTTCTTTGGATCAGGATGAGTTCAAAGTTCCACCAGGACACCACACCTGAAATGAACTTCATCATCAAACAACAGAAGATGATGAAACCAGTATGCAGTGGCTTGTCATCAATTGTCTTATTCGTAGAGCATTCAATGCTGATATTGTCCCATTAATTAAGCCAGGACAAAGTGGTAAACCCCAGCCCCATCTTTAGACCTGTGGAAGCAAGGCACACATGCCTCCAACCCTGGCCCTGGAAAATGCAGGGGATCATCAATAACATATACAAAAAGACACTTCCAATGCTATCAAAAGCTATTGAGAAAGTCCGGCCATTTGAATTGAATCCAACAAGATATTTAAACCAAAATAAAAGAGGATGGTTTCCTAAAATGAGCAATAACAACATTTAACTTCACTTCACTATGAGGGGGGAATGAAAATAGAGGGAGCAGGAATAAAAATATCATTCGACATAAGATATAATAAAGATCAATATTAAGATCTCATAATCCACAGACACCTGGCAAACAACTAAAGTGCTTTCAAGTGTTACAAATGTTCTGGTTAATCACCTTGTCTTGCAACGATTTTGTTTATGTATGTAGATAAATGAGGTATATGTACACTATTTATGAGTCACCCTAGTATACAGAGCATCATATTCAAATGCATTTTCTTTACAGATCAAACAATCGGAAGTCACTACAAATTATTCCAACAATCTGCCAACATCTGGTCAACCCCTCACGCATCAACAGGTAACAAAAGGATACATGTTAAACCACAGAAAAAATCATCTCTTTAGCAGCTGCAAATTAATTCAGGGCTATTTTGTCATTTGACCTTCTAATCATTGCAATTTCACAATCTATATTTGGAATTAAAATGCAACATCTCACAGAAAATAAATAAGGAAATAAACAGAACTCCATAATGAGCTAGAGATATCCATTTTTATTGAGTTTTGGTACACAATTTTTTCAAGTTACAGATTTTTGCTGTCTAGACCATAGTGGATTCAGAACAAATTTGACAAAGCTAAAAATGCATTCACACTGCTTCTTACAATATTGTGAGGCCACCATAACCAAGTAAAGAAGAATGCTGTTAGAGAGGCTAAAAGAAAAATCACTAGACTTACTATTCACTATGATGTAAGCTTGTTCCAGCAGATATTAAATTCCTTAGCTCCATCAAATGTTCATCATTTGAAATGTGAAGTGTAATACGTAGATTTGTCAATAATGCTTCTTGTTCCCAACTTAAGGGTCCAGAAGCATACAATGCCTCTAGAGTGCAACGATAAGCATGCAACTCTAAACTATGGATTCTTGCAGCTACATCATCAATTACAGGATGGGGGGATTTTTCTTCCTCATCTCCACGACCAGAAAAACTTTCAGCATCACTACTAAGGGTATCTGCATCCTCACAATAACCTGCTAAAATACGACTAGACAACTTACTGGTACTGTTACTGTTACTAATAACACTACAACTACCAACAGAGCATAAATCACTATCAGAATCGTTAGCATCTGAGCCCCTTCCCTGAGAACAATCAAAAACACAAATTGGTTTTCCCATCTCTATTTCATGATAGGCAGTTGTTTGATTGTTAGGGGAAGTATGCATGTATGTTTCACCCAGATTTTCTCGTGGGTAAGCAACAGCATCTACCTTGTTTTGTAGGGAGGATGGATTTCCTGAAATCACTCTTTCGAGCTCACCCTCTTTCTCAATTGCTCTCAATTTCTGAATGTTTCCAGTCCATGCTTCAGCATAAGAGGATACAAAAGGGTAGGCTCTTTTCAATGTTCTAGCTGAGACAACATGTGACTCCTGAATATCAGTGGTGTTCTTGATACCAGAACAATCACATCCAGCATGCACTTCTAAATCTGCATCAGCTCGCACCAATGGGAAGTTTCTCTTCTTTCGAAAATTTATCATTGAAGCTATATTTGATTGTGCTTCAGAATCTCCTGAACCCTGTGAACAATATAGCCAATAGATGGTTAGAGAAAAATTGCAGGCAACCAAGAGAAATTGAGTGGTATGTATTCATGAAGCATTAATATGTTTGCACATAGAGAAAAGAGACCAAAAGAGGACAGAAGATAAGATAGAGGTCCAAAACGAACAAACAAAACTCAACTAGTTAAAACTTTGCAACAAAAACTGTAGCACATGCATCTATATTAAAGGCAAAAACAGAAGAACACATAAACCACAAAATCATTTTATCAGTAGTTCACAGCCAACTAATCATATAGAATCAAAAAGAGAAGGAAGATTCTCAACTAGATCTGCAACTCAACAGAAAATATCATAAGGGAAAAATGAGACAGATAAGAACCAAAAAGAAATCCCTAAAAACATTCAGAAAATTTTACCAAACACTGAAAATAAATGTATTAACAAGGAAAGAAAGAAAGAGGATGAAAATAATTGCTAAGAACAAAATCTAAGAAATTTACCTTCCCAATCACAATCCATTCACCATCTTGCCATGATTGACGAACCCTGATATTAACTTTGTAAGCTTGGAATTCCTTCGAAGATCCAAGTAGCCTAACCAGATAGCACTCTGCACTCAAAACCTTCAGAATCGAAGCAATTTTCCAGGAAAAATAATCAAAAACCTCCACGACATCTCCAGTCACCAAATTTCCCTTACAGTTCACAGGTGGAGGACAAGGTCTAATTGCCTTTCTTGACACCCTCTCCTTGACTGTTTCGTTTGTCCTGCCCAGAAAATGAACATATCTAACAGTGTAATTGTGTCCATTGCCCGAGATAATATCTGCTGGCCGCCATGCACCAGAAGGCACTTCACTTTTGCTAAATACCTCAATCTTACTTCCCTTCTTGAATCTCATGATGGCTCACAATATCTGCAACAAAAGACATATAACTATCACAATCCATAAATATTCTTGGAAAAATTTAATCCTTCAAGACTCCAATTATCTCACTATTAACTTTTAGAAGATAAACATTTTCCAAAAACGTTTACCAAGAGTTCCCATGAAAAAAGTGAAATCCAGAAAGAGAAAGAACTTAAACATTAATTCCATGTACTCAGAGAAATAAACACTAGTTATTGGATCAAGTAATCACTGATTCTGAATAACTGTTGGTTATGTCTCTGACTCTCAAACATAGTTATCTCTACAGTAAAATAGACTTTTGCTAAAACGGTGATCTTCTCATAAAAGCAAACACATAATACTGAGAAAATTTTCAATCCTTAATAACAATTTCTCTATCAAATGATCTAAATAGAGTTCCAAAAATTAATCAGTTAAATAACATATTAAAACCAAAATCTTCTGTTAGAATAATTAAAAAAAAAAAAAAAAAAAGAACATAATAATAATAAAAAAATATATGAATGTATCTTTAAAATTAAAACAACTAAAATTACACAAACAATCAAAGGTTAGTCTATATGCACAAAATTAAATGTAATAAAAATAAAAATAAAAAAACACTGCAAGTAAAAATTTATGAAGCACGAGATAAAATAACTGTCCTCAGAAACAACAACAAAAAAAAAAAAAAAAATCGCTTAAAATTTTACAGAATTAGAATTGCAGTAATCAAAACCCTAATTATTATCATAAACTGACCTATTTCCGATGATCGACCGGAGGTCAATTGAAGATATAATAGCTTAAGAATTCCTAAGTACCTGTCTTCGTGAGAGATCTTTTGTGTTTTGTGTTTTAGGGTTTGTGAATTTTGAAGAACAAAATACAAAAATTATTTATTTTTCAGATGAGTTTTAATTTTATAATAGTTTTTTAATACGTGGGATTTAAGTTTAATCTCAACCATAAAAGGGTTGGGTGCGTAGTGCGCACCCTCAGATCAGTCACATCCAATTTATCCACTCGCACATTGGAGCGTGCAAAACAACTTGATTAAAACATAATTAATATGGTAAATTTAATTAAAAATTACACATCTTTTAATTTTTATTTTTTTAACTAAAGTGTTAGCCATATGACACATCAACTCCTCTAAAGAGACGAGCACAGCAAAACAATCGACCGCCACGGTTCCTATCTCTTCGAGAGAAACTAGCATAGTAAAATAATTCATCGTTACGACTTTCCATTAACCTGAGATTGTGCGTTTATTTATAATATCTTCTATTTGTCATAACCATCTGGATTACTTACGGATGGATACTTATTTCATTCTTAAATATGGATTTATTTTTATAATGCCTTCAAAATTAATTTAAAAGGGTTTTTATATTTGACCTGAATAAGGAATATCCTCTTTTGGTTGAAATATTTAATGTAGATATACAGATAATATTCCAACTCTTGTATCATATATTCATATTACATGGCTTATAATTGAACAGAATATCTTTGAATTATAGAGATTTGTGAATGGTCAAATTATATTCAATAAACTTCACCCTGTTACGCTAAGCATTGTGCCAACTGCCAAGTACTGTCTGTTTCTTACCTTTTAGGCTGTTATTGTTTTTATCAGTTGTCATAAACAAAGCTGCCGGCAAAAGGGTCTGAGCTGAGAGATTCTATATTTTGAAATAAACCCAAATGCTTAGAGAATTTATTCTTTGTAAACTAAAATAAGCTAAGTGATTTCCTTATTTCAGGCCTCCTCAACCTTCTCAACATCAAAAACATTGTTATTACTTATTTCACACGCTTCAGGGATGAACCTTCAGCATTCTGAAAAGAGGTCACCCAATATTCAAGCAAGTATGTTGCATGAGCATCAGGGCTTTGATAAATGCAAAACGCTGCTAGTAACATTACCTTCTCATAACAAGAATACAAGGAGGAAATAAATTAGTTTCTAAAGATCACATAAAAGGTAAATGTTAAGCATGCTGATGTCCTTGGTCAATACTTTCATTACAAAAATCCTGAATTTAAATTACATTGAGGAGACTTTGTTGTCCAGCTTGAAATGTTGTTGCTCCTCCTATGGTCTTTAGCATTCCATGTATTGTAACAAATATTCCACATAGCAAATCAGCTATAGAATATCATCAACTTTACCAGCATAAAATAACATGCTTTGTCACATAGTGCCGTAATAATATGCCGTAATTGCTTAAATAGTAAAGCAAACGTTATCAAAATTCAAAAGTGCATACTAGATGAGTACTAGGGAATCTTTTACAATTCTGCTTTATGATTCAGAGAGAGATAGGAACTCAACCTGGTAAATAAACAGGAAAAGAAATTGTTAGAAAGTTTCCAACAAAGTCATGACTTTGAATTGAAAAAAATACCATAAGATAGTGACAAACACATTGTACCTTACATCAGAGTAGTAGAAGGATTTTCCAACAAGGAATAGTATTTTATGACCATGTTAGGAACTATAAAGGCATTGCCTTTCTGAAGCCCAAGCAACGTTAGCAAGTATCCGCTCCACTCAAAACAGACCAGTTGTGAAGTGAGTAAACAAGAATGATGCCCACATTAGCTTTTGACACAACATTTCTATGCAGTTTGTGCACATTATCCTTGGTTCAGCCATATCACTGAGCTCTAACGTTTTCTTCAAGGCCTGCAGCATAATTTGCCGTGGGATTAGAAATAACCATCCTCCACTCCTACTGAATCTACAATAAAGTTGACATCTTTTTGTTGCACTGTAGTGTTCCATACTAGACTCAGTCTGACCAACCTTTTGGAAGGGTCCTTTCATTAACGTTTTAGACCAGATCCTGCAGGCCATGACGTACTTCAGCTTTGAAGGACGATATAAAAGTTGGCAGGAATTTACAACAACAATTAACAACTGCTCATTCAGGCCACTAAAGCTCCAGGAACAGATTTTTCCCCTCTTACTTTTCCATTTACAAGAATATCATACGTAGTATCATCAGGTACAAGTCCTCTATCAAGCATTTCATTATGCAATCTAAAAGCCTCTTGCAAATTACCCTCCTTAAAATGTCCAGCAATCAATGTATTATAAATAAGAACATTAGGAGTTACACACTTTCTGTCCATCTCATCCAAAATCTTGCATGCATTCTCTAGCTGTCCTTTTCTACAAAGACCATTTATCAGAACACTAAATGCAATTAAATCCGGTACAATGCCCTTGGAAAGCATCTCTAAGTAAAGATCTGATGCAATGAGTAATTTACCCTCTTTTAACAATCCATCAATCAATGTGGTGTATGCTTGCAAATCACAGGGAATCCCCTCATTCGTCATTTTTTTATGCATATCAAGTGCCGCTTCCATGTTACTTATATTCCTGAAGCCACTAATCATGCTATTGTAAACTGCAGTATTAGGAGATAGCCCAACTTCAAGGAGTTCAGAGAAAAGTCTACATGCACTTTCCATGTCTTGTGTTTTGCCAAATCCATCAATGAGAACACTGTAAGAAATGACATCTGGTTCAAGACCTTTTTGCTTCATCTCATTCTGCATTTTCAATGCAAGATCCATACGCTTGTTTTTGCAAAACCCACAAATCAAGCTGGTGTAAGTAACAACATTAGGGGAAAGTCCATTGTCACACATCTCACTGTAAACTGCCTGAGCAGAATTGACATCACCCTCCTTGACAAACCCATCTATGATGCTATTGTAAGTCAAACGCATAGGGACAAAGCCCTCCTCAACAAAACTCCACAATTTGTCTCTGGCCTCGGATGAGCGACCAACTCTGCACAAACCATTGATAATTGTGTTGATCGTGTAGTCTGTTGGAGAAATTTTCTTAGCCACCATTTTGTCAAACATATCAAGGGCATGTTCAGCATCACCATTTTTAAAGTATCCGTCCATCAGAATAGAATAAGTGATAACATTTGGTTTTAAACCCATTTCAAGCATCTCCGAAAATATACTATATGCCTTATCCATATTTTCCACTCTGCAGTATGCAAGGATCATGTTGTTGTAAGAAACCACATTGGGTACTACACCATTAGACACCATCTTTTTCCACAAACAGCAAGCTTCACTTACCTTACCCTCTTTAGAGAGCCATGACAAGAAATTATTGTATGTAAAAACATTTGCAATACCACAATCAATTGCCTCATCAAACAGCTTAGATGCCTCTTCCAGAGATCGAGCTTCTAAAAATGCCCGTAACAATGAATTTACATTAAATACACTAGGCCTAATACCCATAGGTTTCATCTGGGTGTAAAGCTCGTAAGCCTTTTCCACATTCCTATTCTTACAACACCCATCAATCAAAACCGCAAATGTAAAGTTATTCGGACGAGGGCCATCTTGCATCATCTTGTCAAACAAATTCAAAGCACTACTCAAATCGCCTTTCTTGCAATATCCCTTGATCAGACTTGTTAAAACAACCAAATTCATCGGCCAGCCACAACTCACCATGTCATCCTTAAGCCTTAATGCTTCCATCATATTTCCCTGCTTCACACAAGCACCTATTATACCTGCATATGTACCCTCCGAAGGAACCAAATCCATATCTCTCATCTCCTTCAACAACTCACATGCCATTTTCAAATCAAGCTTCTTACATAAAGCCTTAATAACGATACTATATGCCGTTGCATCAAGTTCTATACCTCTAGCCTTCGCTTCTCTAAAGTACTTCTCAGCTTGCTCAGGCTTCTCTTCTCTTAAACAAGCGCACATCAATATGCTAACTGTTGCTCGATCACCGATCACACCTCTCAAAACCATCTTATTGTACAATTCTTTCGCTTCATCAATCAAATTTCTTTTAACCAATTCATTCAAAACTATGTTCACCGATCTAACCCGAGGAATTATATTACGCTCTATCATTTCGCGACAACTCTCTAAAGCGTCATTTATTTTATCAGCTTCAACATAACTACGCAACAAGTAATTGAAAAGCCTCGAATCTAAATCAAAATCGAACCTTTCCGCAGAATCGATCAAGTGGTCAAGCAGAGCGATCGATGGTGGTCCGGAAAAGCCCGAAACGAAATGATTGAGCGATTTACGAGCGTGCCCAGTCTCTGGGCTTTTCATCAGAATGTGAAGCAAAACACAGAATGAATCGAGGCTTTTGACAAAACGTCCCACCCGACTGAAATATTCCAAAGCTGAAATTGGGTCGTTTTTGTAGCTTATAAGAGTGTTAATCACATCGGTTGGTGTTAAATCTGTGGTCTCTAAAGTGGGTGAGGCATAATGAGGCTGTTTGGATTCTGAGAAAGTTGGGTTTTGGAGCGAAAGGGTGTCTGGGGTGATTTTCTCGGGAGAATCCAAGTTTGATTCAGGATTCCCGGAAAAGGGAGATTCAGATGAAATCGGTTTGTTGGGACATTCTGGTTGAGAGCATAAAGGCCTAGGGTACTTGAAAGAGCGAAGAATAAATGGAGGGATTGGTGAAGAAGTAAGTGAAGATCTCATAGTTATTTGATCGGAAGTTGGCGAATTGCAGACTAAAGTACTAAACCCGACTGGTTAAACCCTTTTGTTTTGAAATTAAAAGGGAAGAACTTCGGCGACATGGGCTGGGCTATGCCCGCATTTGGCCCAGGTTAATCAATTATTTCTTTTGCTTGAGGATCTTGCTAAAATAACACACCGTTATTTCTCTTCTTTTGACCCAGCAGAAAAGTCAGAAAGCCTTTTTCTAATCGTTTTCACGACGCTTTCCCACCTATACAGTTTTAGAATATTATTTTATTATTCAAATTTATATTTTATTTTTAATTATGATATCGTTATGATCCACGTCATCATCATTCTTTTCTCTAATTATCACTTATCAAAACTCGTCAAACTTTACTCTCGCCAATCCCGCCAATCACCGATAATCAAGTAATTAGGGTTTACATAGCCATCATTTCTATGTCAAACTCTAATTAATCTCAACCACCAAAGTCCAACATTCCAAAAGTCCCATCGGCCTCCTCTCTTCAAAAACTCCAATAGTCTGGACCCAATCTACTCTCTATTCGCTGTAGGACTATAAATTTGAATAATAAAGTAATTTTTTAAAAGTTTATGGATGAAAAAATGTTATTAAACCATTATTTGGATGAAAAAAAACCGTTTAACTCCAACAAAAAATCCATATTGTCCTCCTAAATTTTAATTTTCTAGACAATACAAAACTTTAACATAGATTTATGATACCATTGATTTATAAGTTACCCATGAAATTAATACAGCTTTAGATTCTCTTTTATATCTATCTGATTATATTGCATAATTGACACAACAATTAATCACGAATTAATCAGTCTAGTTTATGATATACATTGGTTTAGCAATTCAAGTTGACAGCACTAGAAAGTAAGTAGAGGATATGCTGAACGCGATTGCAAACGGCGGTTGCCAGCGAAGTCATTGGTTAGATGGTCAATGGGTTACAAATTCTATCCTGCCAGTTCTCTGAAATGTTTAAAGAATAAAATGACATTAATTAGCACTTAAGGACCTGTAGAAATGATGATGTATTAGAACCTTCTATATTTCCCTCAACACAACTTTCTCTGCCGTTTCTAAGAAGCGTAGCACGTTTACAAATTAGATACAACAACTGGACTGCTTGTTGAAAATCCAACTTCCTGCTCATTACAACAGCTCAATCCGCCTTGATCCAAGCCTCTCACACCCCGGCTTAACTATAAGGGCCATGGCTCAGCTATAAGGGCTAGCAAAGTTGAGACATTTATAAGCTAGTTATTCGAACTCATCAAATTTTCACACTTATAAGCTAGTTATCTCAACTCATCAACCCTGCAAAAACTGGTAATTTGTGCGCGACTTCACATGGAGACATCTGGCATTTGTAAAATAGAGTCTTTAAATGAATATCATGACGGCTGAGCAAACAGATACTGGAGTAAGGGAGCGACCACTGCTATACTTAAACCATTTCCCAGCAATGCATAACTGCAGTGATAAGAAACTGATCTGATCAAATTTAATGAAGACATAAAAAAAAACTGGTAATAACATGATGCAGCAGATTTATGTTTACTCGTCACAATGGGGAAACAATGTACGGGAAACAATTGCATACCGTTGTCTAAGGCTTATGTGCTGTGGGAACTGAAAATCCTCCGGGAAAGAGTGCAAATTAGCAACCTAATTATCAAAATGACAAAACATTCTAAATTAAAACAAACAAAATATCAAACACTTGTGAACAACAAGATACAAGGTAACTCGTCATACCTCCCTGGGGGTAAAATATCTAAGGCATTGCTCCTTCAGAGAAGTTGTTTTCCCCTTCTTCTTTGGCTGCATATCAATCAAATTGTACATGTAAAGACCACAAAAAGATACTGTTAGAAAATGTAGACCTCTAGAAAAACTACATCAAACAAAAGATGGATATGAGCAATGTTTAAAAGAAAATATGGCACTCCACAGAACACCAGAAAATTGACCAAAAAGTCAAACAGACTGAGTTACTATTTTGAAACCTGAGTTAAATTTAATCAAATCTGTTTGGCAGGGTAAATAAGCATGCAGCAAAACACATAACCTGACATTGACGGATATTGGAACATTTGATATGAATAAAACAAATTTATCATCCAGTATGTAGCAGGTTGATACCTAGAACCAACTCTAAGCAGACAACTCTGTAAATCACTGCATGTTTGAAATTAAATCTTACCTGGATAGTTGCCAAAAGAGAACCAGTACCTTTGACATATCGATAATAGCTCTTTGTAAAACAACAACACCGTTTTGAGTCTGGATAGACAATATCTAAACTCTGTTGAGGATTTCTCTAGAGATACAGAAATCAATTTACGACTAAAAGGAAGAATACTTATGATAATAGATATATGATTTCATAGTAGTATAAGGATACCCATAGCACTTCCCCACCTCTCTATCAAGCTTAGTGGAACAAGATACTGGTCCATAGACTCATATTCATTTGCTTCAGCAATTTTCTCTGAAGCTCCAAAACTATCTGTAGCAACGTTGTTAGTTTCCAAGAAATCAGTTTCTGTATTTATTTGGTGGCTTGGGCTTTTGAATTCAAGAAACCTTTCTACAGGGTCACAAGATTGGAGCAACTTATCCCAGCTCTCTTCAGATTGATCATGTTTGTTGATCACAGTAATATCATCCTGCCCATGCAATGGGCCTGGAGACCATAGGAGTTGGTTATTAGAGAGTTGGCACCTAAAGGAGAAAGGTTTTCTTTTTGCCTGCAAAGTAAATTAAAATAAGTCACTAAAATGCATAAGATCTTTTCTTCACAATGTGAGACAAAATAATCACTATCTTTACTTATATCTGCCAACTGCAAAATCATAATAATATATAGTCACCCATCAAGTGAACTATATGAAAAATCTGCTTTAAAAGCCAGTTGTGGTCATCCTCCACAAAACTACCTCATACTATAGCAGTGATGGGATATATCCTACATAACTCTTAACAGAAACACCATTGACCCAAATGAAAATTCATAACACTGATTTCCACCAAACAGTATTATATAGACAAGAACATTATATATGAATATATAAAATTATAAAAAAAAGATAATGACAAATAAAATAGACAGCTAAAAAGCGAAGTAAAATGGAGGAGGCTACCAGACAAAAATAACGTGGCCTGGAATAAGGCACACCAAACTGTAGTGGGCTCAAGATAAACTCCTGCGTAACATAGTTAGACTTGCCCAATATCTCAATCATTTTTGTATGAGTATCTGAGGTCTGTAATCAACAAAAAAGTAATAAATAAATAAATTAGCTTAAAATTCTAATAGTCCAATTTTTATAGTATAATGAGCTGATATTTTCATGGACAGACCTCAAATCCAACAACATTTTCCATAAATAACAGAACAGGAGGTTGCGAAATATGTGGTATAAGTTCAAGAAGTTTGAGAAACGAAAATGCTCGAGCATCACCAGATTGCTTTTGGAGTCCTGAGAAAAAAATATTCACCAATCAATAATATATAATATATGTAACACAAAAGAGAAGAGGGAGAGAAAAAATTGACCTTGTCGAGTGTATGGTTGTCAAGGAGGGGAAAGAAGCCATGCTTGTGCCTTATAGCTGTCCAGCTCAGTTGCAGTGAGGCTCTGAATATTACCCTATACAATTAACAAGAAGAATTAAGACAAAATGAAAATAGAAAACATTCAAAACGAAATTAAACAAGTGGTTAAACCTGATAAGGACGGTGACCAAAATTGTGCTGATAAACATCATTGGATTTTTCGTTGATGTCAAATGCTTCTACTACTTCTGCGTTCACGCCGGCTTTCATTAACGAATACCTCTAACAACAGCGCACGTAATTACAGAGTGAATTAAGAAGCTAAATTAGTTTTAGCGTTAGGGTTAGGGTTTAGAGAGGGATACCATTCCGCCTATTCCACTGTAGAATTCGAGTGCCCTCCATGGTTCATCTTCGTTTTTCAACAAATCTTTTTCCATTCGATCTCGTGTTTTCTTCGATCTCCACCTGGTAGTAGGGTTTAAGGCTCAACTGTAAATAACAGACTCTCTGCTTCAACGGTATCGTTTTCTTCAGTTGAAATAATATTAGGCCAACTTAGCAATTAAAAGACCTGTTTGCCCTCTGTTCATAAACTTCACTGTTAACTCTCGGAGTCCATATTTTTCAAGACTGATAACACTTATGGCAAAGCATTTTATCCTCTTCCACGCATGGTCAAATTATAATCAGTAAACTTCATCCTTTTACAATTACAGCTTAGAAGTTTTAAAGAAGAAAGGTTGTTCCAGGTTCTTGTGTAATGTAACTTTTTGTTAATGCAGGCTCAAGGTCTGCAGGTACATCCAGAAGATGCAATCAGGTCAGAAACATTTAATCAACCAGATAAAAACCAATGTCTTGTAGTTGTAGTGAATCAATCTACAATGAAGAGAAGAGAAAATAATGTCAAGCGAAGAAAATCAACCATATCTTAGATTCGGTTAAAATACAAGAAAGAACAAGGGATAAGAATTTTAAATGCATTTTTTAAATTTTTGTGTGCACTTCAAGGGACAAGAATGGAGAGAAATGGGAGCAAGGAGATTAGATAATTCCATCCAGGGCAAAGTTTCTGCAACATGTATTTTTTTTCAAGAGAAAAATGAACCATCTGTTCCATTCTTTTTATTGTTTTCACATTTTGTTTCAAGTATTTCCCAACAAAAATTCGGACACACTAATTACTTTTTAGCTTTATTTGTCATGTTTTGATTTCTCATTTTTTTAATTTCCAGGGTCTGTCAATTCTATGGACAATAAACAGCATCAGAAGAGATAAGCTGTTTACTTACTTGAGTGGAAATTTTTGCAAAAAATATGTAATGGTATAAGCAAACTTGCAATGCTAAGCACAAGAAATCATCCTCATGTTTAAGTTAAACAGAACCCATGTAGTTGCCAAGCTTCTGCATAC